TGTGTGTGTGTGTGTGTGTGTGTGTGTGTGTGTGTGTGTGTGTGTGTATGTGTGTGTGTGTGTGAGACACAGAGTTTTGGGGGGTGGGTGGGAGGGGTTTAGTGTGTCAGGCAGTAGTCCTGCTCATCTCGCTCCGCCAGTTAAGTTAAATCAGAGGCAGTCACTGGCACTCTGCGGTGGTCTTTCTCTATCTCTCTCTGTCTCTTTTGTGTCCAGCTCTGAAAGCGTCAGCAGCCTCCTCGTTTAGCACCACAGGTAAGAGACCATCTTTCACCCAAATTTTAAAAAACATCTAAAGCCTTTGTCTTAAACATGTTTGAATGTTATGCCTTTATCACTGGAGTAATGGAAACTTTCCGAAGATGCTCAGTTTCTCTTCCCAGATAAAAAAAAAAAAGCCACTTAACGTTATTTATCGCTCGAGGCCTTCGCTGAAGTGACATCCCGGACCAAACAAATCTGTCTGCTGGATCTATTCTTGTGCAACCTCATGACTCTGTTAGTTTAAGTTATCCTCGTGAAGGTCCTGTGTGCGTAGCACCTTTAAAACATTTGCTACTATTTTGCATTTAGAAAGAGAAGAAATGTCCAGAACTGAATTGTACAACTTATATAGGCTCAGGTCTCACAGTCCCATAGAAATTTAGACTAATTTCCTGACTGACAATTGCTCTTTGCTTTCTGAAAGTCTTCAGTTATGAAAAATGTATACCCAAAACAAAAAGGGAGGGAGGCAAAGAAAGCAGGTCTCCTGCTTTCTTCTCAGAGAAAAAACAGGCCAATAGTGAACACTGAATATGTAGCAAAGGAGGTAAAGATCAACTGGTGCAGCTTACTTATAAATGATAAAACTACAGAGAACTTTCACTTTTCTAGAAGTTTCTTTCTGCTTGTACGGCGAGACAAGAGGCACCAGGAGGTTCTGCACAGACAGGAAAAAAATGTTTGCTTACTCAATGTGCCATTAGAAGAATTTGAATCGGCACGGTTATTTATAAGTGGCTGGTCCCATCGCAGAATGGTGCCCAAGAAAAATGTAGAAATCGCATCTGAATTTGCTATTTCCATTGACTTCTGAGTGCATAGGTCACATTCTCACTTAGTCCACAGACTTTCTCATTCTCCCAACATTGACTACTCATTGTAAAACAAGAAGGCTGTTTCAAAAAGTCGAACACCACCATAACTAACAACCCTTCAGCTGAAGAGACTCTTGTAAGTTGAGACACGGGAGGAACAGACTTGTAGGAGGCTATGGCTGAGATGCACCCCACCATTAGACACCCACATTACTAATATCCAAGGAGTAGTTCAGAGAGATGAAGGGCCATGCTGTCTTAAAACGGGCAAGTCCCACTGGAAGACAGTGGTAATAAATCTGCGCTCCTGTGACACGTTAAAAGGTGCAGGACGGAAGAAGCTGCAGGCACCCATTGTTGCGGAACTTCCTGTTGACCAAAGGGGACTGAAAAAAAAGGCTTAGATGAGAATGGTCGGGAGATGGCAGGCTGAGTTGGTGCAGTGAGGTGAACCTCACTCCATAATGGGCTGACATAAATCATTAACTCCATCAGCCAGACATTTGGCTGGCTCCCTCTTTGAGCAGCCAGATGGTGGTGCTCATGTCAGAGCAGATTGGAGCTCGAGTTTAGGGCGGCCTGGGATAGTTCAGTTGATAAGAACCTCTTCTCTTCTCAGTTCAGATGAATTTTTCCAATTTTCTCTGTATGTTAGATCCCCATGAGAATTCCCAAGCAGGAAGGGGCTGATTTAAAATGCCCAAGAATAGGATTAGATGTGGAATGTTGCTACTGTAGTGTCATTCAGGAGTCAACCAATGAACTTTGGAGGAGAAATATCCCCAAACTTCCTCCATATTCTGATTTTATCATTTTTTGTAAGCAGTATTGTGTTTGCAAACAGCACAGGGGGCCTCTGAGTCCTTTGTCTTGTCTTGGAGGATGCAACTTGCTTTAGGACCTTGTGAAGTAGATGTTTACCTTCCTGTCTGTGGTCACCCAGGGTTTATGGCTGCCATTCAGCAATGTGCCATCTCACCCGAGCTATAGCTCACTGGACACAGTCATACTTAATAGCCACCTCACTTATTTTATAGAGCCCCCATATATATCTGCATGGCAATTATTTCAGCCTGTGTTGATAAATCACTCCTGTCACCGTCAGCATTTTGCTCATGGAAAAATACACCTGGTAAATAGTTACAGGGCGACAGTGTAGGTTCCTCTTTATTTCCAACTGTGGGCATCAGAAATCTTTAAACATGGCCGGGTTTTACGTCATTTGTTTCAATATCAACACTTGTGCAAGTGTATGTGTGCGCGTGTGTTTAGCCACTCCCTTTCGAACAGTTCAAATCCACAGCAACCCACTGTTATAATCAAAAAGATATAGCTTTGGGAATAAAGAAGACAAATGACGACTGTCCCGAAAATCCCTGCTGCGACATCTGTATGGGTGCTTTGCCAGCTTTGCCAGCCTGCCACTGCAGGATCCGGGCAGGAAACCTCGCAGATATTTGATAACTGTGTTGCCCTTGGCACCGACATCTCCATTCAACAATCCTCACATCTGCAACCAATGCGATTGCTGCTTCGGTACGCTGAGGGATTCTTGAACGTGAGATAAAATAGGTCCATGGCGGGGCTCCAGCTGCCTTCATGCCTGTCGGAGGGCAGCAGGAGTGCAGGTTGATGGAAGGTTTTAAAGGTGTTTTGGTAAACAGCAACCTTAACTCTGCTGCCACGTTTTCCAAGAAAAAAGGGACATTTACACTATATCTATATTGATGTGCATTTCTGCTATATGTTTGTATTCATATGCCGCTTTTCGCAGGCCGCTTTAAACCTGCTGTGAGGTTTAAAGGGTGAAACTATGAAGCTAGAATGCCCTCTTGTGGCAACAAACCATCCTAGTTTAGTCAGACTAGTTAAACATAATTGCTTCTCCTCCCTAGAAGCCTCTGCTGTATCCTATTCACCCTTAATCATACAAAATTATGATTCACTCCATATTCTAAAATCTTAAAATTAAATAGCTTTTTTCATTACCTCGTCCGCTCTTTCACTCTCTAAGACTCTAAGACCGCTTAACTTAGCATCTGCTTGCTTTAAATCTACCCACAAACATTTTATTTACGTGTGATTAGTAACAGAAGCTGTCTTTGCTGCTGAAATGTTGAAAACAAAAGGCTTATGCTAATATTATTACAACAGTTTCACTAATGGTGCGCACTAAGCTATTCTATTAAACAAAAAGACTATTAACGAACGGGAGTTTTTTTTGTATTTTTTAAAGAACGATTTCACATTCTGCTCCTCCAAATGGAACAAAAAAAACTAGCTCCGAGGCAAATTTTCTGCAGCACGCAGGTTTGATTTTCTCACAGAGCGAAGTTTCCACAGAGCTGATTCCCTGCTGTCCTGTTTGTTTAGGTGTGCTCTGATTAGAAGTTCTCACGCTGGGTACAATGTATCTCCGCACGCCAAGGGTTTGAAACGTGACATGTCTTGTACAGTGACTGGAGCCCCAAAGCTTTCCTAACTCTCTCCTGCGTGCTCCCTCCATGCCTCAGTGTTTAATGGCGCCGTTATCCAGGCTCGCTCTTTGCAGCCTCAGTTTACACAGGTCATAACACTGAGCATAAATGCTCTCCTTCGGGGTGCCGTCAGTCTCCTCAGACAGACGGACCATTTGATAAACACTGTACCCTTTTACTGTTGCCGTTCATTAGCTTAGGGAGGATTTAGAGGAGGATTCAGAAGACTGGCTCCCTGAATAATGATCTTTCAAAGGGCATTTTTGGAATATTGAATAACATGCAACATCTGTTTTTCATGGCTTCTTGTTTTACAGAATTAACATAAAGTGTCAGGAAGGCTTTAATGTGCAGGTCTTTAATGAGCTGGTATAGGGTGAGCACTTTCATGCGTGCTCGTGTGGATTAGCGTTTATGGGCCATGCCAGCGGTAATGACGGCTCTTCTCCCAGACTGTCTGTTACATTTTTGTTGTGCTTCTTTTATAGGACTCACTAAGGCCCTCGCCCGAGGCCTGTATCAGTCACCACAGACGCCCCCTGCCGATAGGGCCCCCAGCTTAAAAGTCCAAGGATTTGGCACTAAAAAGGGAAAATGCAGAATCAAACGACAGAGGGGATAAACTTGACATGCGGCATGTCTGGACACCATGAATTCATCTTCACTCTGGTGCCTATCGTCTACAGCTGCAACTTTGTCATCGGCATCATGGGGAACAGCATGGTGGTGGCTGTCATCTACTGCTACATGAAGCTCAAAACGGTGGCCAACATTTTTGTCCTCAATCTGGCCGTGTCTGACCTCACGTTTCTCATCACGCTTCCCATGTGGGCCACCTTCACCGCCACCGGGTATCACTGGCCCTTCGGAGGATTCCTGTGTAAGACCAGCGCCGGGCTGGTGATTTTCAACCTCTACACCAGCATCTTCTTCCTCACGGCCCTCAGCATTGACCGTTACCTGGCCATTGTGCACCCCGTGCGGTCGCGCCGCTTCCGCACGGTGGCGTACGCCCGCATCACCTGCGTGCTCATCTGGCTTTTCGCTTTCCTGCTCAGCGTGCCCACGGCCCTGACCAGGGACGTCCACAACATCAAAGACTCAACGGGTACCGTGTGTGCCATCCTCCACCCAACAGTTGAAAATGTCAAGAGGCTCAAAGACCTCCTTCTCGCCATCAGCCTCATGAAGAGCCTTCTGGGCTTCCTGGTGCCCTTTGTCATCATCATCACCTGTTACTGCCTTATTGGGCGCGCGCTGATTCGAGCCAAGCACATCCAGAAAAGCTCCCAGTCCCGGGACGACGAGGTTCTGCGCATGCTGGCGGCTGCTGTCCTGGCCTTCTTCTTGTGCTGGGTGCCCCACCAGGTGTTCCACTTTATGCAAGTGCTCACTCAGCTAACAGTGGTGGAGAACTGCGCCATCCTGGAAATCATCGACACCGCCATGCCCTTCACCATCTGCATCGCTTATTTCAACAGCTGCGTCAACCCCTTGGTGTACGGCTTTGTGGGTCGCAACTTTCGCAAAAACCTGCTCCGTCTGTTGCGCTGCTCTCCAAGCGGGGCCGCCAGGCCTCACCCGAGCATTAGTTCCAAAATGAGCGCGCTCTCGTTTCGAGCCTCCGAAGCTCTGAGCCTTACGGTGAAAAGTAGTCATTCCTTAGACGTTAAGTGACATATAAGAAAATGAGAAGGAACAGTGTACAGTTTACATGTCCCTTGCTCTTTTCGGTCTAAGATTTGAAGGCATTCCACACTTTTGGAACTTCAGCTGTATTAAAAAGCACTGACGTCTTCAGACTGGTTGATATGTGGAACTGAGGAGCCTTTGTAACGCCAGAAGACAATCACTACCATACAGAGCACTTACTTGCAGAATGAACATACCATCACACACCATAGATGCCACTATGTAGGCCTGTGCATTGAATGTTAGATTTGCTAAATGTGGGAGAATAAAACTCCATTATATTGCTTAGTAAAAAACTAGCGCTTTCAGACAACACTAAACATAGTTACAGATCACTCATCCAGGTATTTATGTAAGACATGCACGTTCTGCAGTATTTTGTTGGGATTGTGCCTTAATAAGACAACTCGGACATAGATTGTTTTGATGACAATTTTATGTTGTCATCAGTTGTTTCACGGGCTGGATTACAGTGGTCAAGTAATCAGCAGAGGTTAGAAAACTAAAAGAAAAAGGAAAAAAAAGCTCATTCACGAACCACGCCTGCATGCTCTGCAAGTTAATACGCACACACAGATATTGGATACATGTAGCAAACTGTCATGTTAAACTGTATCTGTAACATTGGATTCATTGACAAGTGCCTGTATGTTGTGTGGTATTAAGAACTGTTGTGCTCCTTGTGGAAATGTAAACGTGTTTGCTGAAGTAACACACTGTTACAGTCGAAGAAAAAACTCGGGTTTGGGAGTTCTGTCAACGTATTTGTGGTATTTAAACATGTTAATAGGGTTTTTTTCTACTTCTTTTTTCTGTAAATGTACATTTTTGTGAATATGTGAAAACAATAAAATAGAAAATAACTGCCCTGATTGGATTCATTTTTTTTAATCACTCAAAAAAGAAGAACATCATTGTAGTTGTAGTCATTAGTTCTAAAAAAAAAAAAAAAAAAACCCCACTTGTTCTAAGATAATGCTGCTATTTTTTAAACACCTTTTATAAATGCTGCTGTTGGGGGTGATAGTGATGTGACCTTGACTGCGTTTTCCCGTACGTCTATTAATCATTGACTGTGTATCGTGAGGGCCCCGTTCCCTCCCCATAGTACCTAAAATAAAACAACAAGTGTACACCACAGGATCTTTTAGGGGGGATGTATGACATTAGGCTGCATCACAGAATGGGATTGGTTGATGAACGGTAGGCCAGGGTTTATAAGCGCTACCCACGGAGGAGGCCACCTTCACTGCCAACATGAGGGCCTTCCTGTTTTTCGGATTGGTGGCTGTTGCCCTGGCCGACGTCACTCGCTTCGAGGGGTAAATATTCTGTCTTTTTACGGGGGAAATGACAACTGCAGTGCTGTTAATCCTGAGTGTAAAATATTGTCATGGAGAGCCTACTATAACTCTACATACTAGCTAGATTACCCTGCAAATAGTTGGAAAGAATTTAAATATTTTTCATCTGTATCAAAAACTGGATGTAGCGAATTTATAAATAAGTATAAGTCAATAAGTATAATAATTATAAGTCACCTTTTCTAGTTCCGTGTATTATACTCCTGACCACAAATACCAGATGTGCTTGTATGGAGCTGTCACTTTTCTAAATAATCTGATGTTGCTTGGGTGTTTTTTATTATCATTATGCTTTTATATTTATAGCTCCCTTCCTTTTTCCAAACAGAGACAAAGTCTTCCGTCTGAAGCCCCATCTTGCTCACCATGTGACTCTTATTAAGGAGCTGGCTCAGAGCATTGATGTAACCCCCTACCTCCAAACACACACACACACACACTCATTACACGTTGCTGTCTTTTCTCACTGCAGGGGTTTAACTGGTTTGATAATTGTGGACAGGACAACACTGCTTTTTTAAATCCCGCAGTTCCTGATTAAATTTTCGAGTTATTTACACCTTTTTGGTCTTTTTAATACGTAAATCAAACACAGGATATCTACATGGGTACCTTGGGAGCACTCCTATTAATTCAAGAATTGGAAATAATGTAGTATTTCATGTCAAAATGTTTGGATGCTCAAGTGCTGGACTTTGGTGCCATCTACAGGTCGACTTCTGGAGCCCCGACAGCGCCGAGCAGGTGACCATTGACACTGATGTGGACATCCATGTGCCTGCCAAGTACCTTAACATAGTGTACACCACCCTGAGCCAGAGTGACATCGAGCACGAGTGAGTCGCCTCGTAAATTCAGTGTTTTTAAACGTTTTTTGGGGGTGATTTTAATGCGTGTTTGATGATTTTCCGTTAAGTATTCTTATTGAGGATCTCCAGAACGCTGTTGACGGCCAGGCTGACAGCGGCCCCTCTCCCAGAGCCCACAGCTACACCAAGTACAACAAATGGAGCGATGTAAGAGCCCAAGACAACATCTGTCCCTATTACAGTTTCAATTACAAGATACTTATCATTTCAACCTTTTTCGTGCTTTTAGATCCAGGCTTGGATGGACTCCATTGCCGCCTCCAACGCTAACCTTGTCACCAAGCAGGTGATTGGTAAGACATACGAGGGACGTCCCATGACCGTTCTTAAGGTATGTTAAGTTGAACTATAATTTTCTATGGATCAAAAATTTGCAATATGCGATATGCCAGTCCATGTAACAGACATTAATGTTATGTGGCCATAGCTTGGTGCAAAAGGCAGCTCCACAAAGCCTGCCATCTTCCTGGACTGTGGTATCCATGCCAGAGAGTGGATCTCTCCTGCTTTTTGCCAGTGGTTTGTGAAGGAGGTAAGAAAGACACTTAAACATGCAGTGCACGTATTTCCTCAGGGGCCTCCTTCAATAACACCATTGATGTTTTTCCATGTTTTTCTTTTTACGATGTTCTTCAGGCTGTGTCCACCTACGGCTCAGACAATCAGATGACCAGCCTGCTGAACCAGATGGATGTCTTCGTTTTGCCCGTCTTTAACATCGATGGCTATGAATACACTCACACAAATGTATGTTTTGCTCAACTCAAGCCTAGATTGACATATTTTACTGATGCAAATCATTTGGACCGTTTATTTGATTTGGTTAATGCATGTGTGTTGTGTACACTTGATCTGCTTTGTAACTTTAGAACAGGATGTGGAGAAAAACTCGCTCCAGGAGATCTGGATCCAGCTGTGTCGGAGCTGATCCCAACAGGAACTTCAATGCTGGCTGGTGCAGTAAGTGCAACATGTTACCTATATCTAAAAAAGGACATTAAAGCAATTTTGTACCTAATTTGTTCAGGGGCAGGGTAATTTTTCAGGTTAAGTAAGAACATTTAGAATCAGTGCACCTTGAAGGACACTGGTTTAAGTTATAGCCAAAAACGTCTTAATCTTTCCCGCACAGCGTATTAATGGTATAATTATTACAAACTCTGTCATTCCGACCTCAGATTTAGAAGAGCATCCAGAAGCTTTTTTATCAAGGGCTAAAGCTAAACTAAAAACAAAACACAAAAATAAGCAAAGCACAGGTGGAAAAAGCAGGTATAGGTTAAAAAAAAAGAAATTCATAGAAAAAATCAATTTAAATACAGGAAATATATAATATATAGGAAAAGGTGGCAATGTGGGGGCAACACCAGTCATTCAAAGATAGAAAGAACTTAAAATACAGTAGAGTAATAATAAGTAATACTCTTGCACCACCGTGCAGCCATGTTCCCAATTCAAATCCTGACTCAGGCCTGTCTGCGTGGAGATTGCATGTTCTCCCATGTAGGTGAGGATTTTCTCCGGGTATTGTGGCGACGTCCCACCATCAGAAAACACATACATGTTAGGTTCATTGATGATTACAAAAATGTCCCTTGGGGTGAGTGTGAGTGTGTCTCTGCATGGCCCTGTGATGGACTGGCAACCAGTCCAGGCTGCAGCCCTCCTCCTGCCTAATAACAGCTGGGATATGCTCTGGCACCCTATAAATAAACTCTGCATCCATTACACATAATGCCACTGCTTTCTGAAACCAAGAAGCAAATGTTTGCCAGCAATCACTCAACTCTCAAAATCCCTCAGGGCAGATCACAATGTACCAGCTACAAGTGTGAACCTTTAAAAGTACAGTTCATTAAAAGATTTGCAAAAGTACCTTGCTACTGAGCTAGTTCTTGGACTAGAGCAATTCGATGAACGGCCAGATATGTGGGACAAATATTTAAGAAAATATCACCAATGTAAACTACCATCCAAACTGGATATGTTCCCATTTCATTTCAGTTCATAGGGCAGAATTCATGATTGTCCTATGAAATTGATTATCCTGAAAGTATTAGGTTTAACTCATAAAGACAATTTCTTAATCTAAAACCACAATTTTTGCATGTTTTCTATCATAAAAACGTTGCCATTATGATGAGAAAGCTCTGGAATTGCATTGTCAACACAACTCAATTTGTCAGACTTTCTAATCTTATTGTACCTACAACTCAAAATTATTAAAGTTATCTATCTACCTGGTTAAAGTGAAATTCTAGAAAGTTGGGAAAATGCTTGTTTTTTTTTTAAATGTTTTTTTGCACCCTGCAGCCTTGGGAGCTTCCAGCAGCCCCTGCAGCGACACTTTCTGTGGCTACACCCCTGAATCAGAGATTGAGGTCAAGAATGTGGCTGACTTCATCCGGCAGAACAAGCAAAACATCAAGGCCTACCTCACCATCCACTCCTACTCTCAGCTGCTCCTCTTCCCCTACTCCTACTCTTACGATCTGGCTGCAGATCACAGTGAGCTGGTCAGTCAACTTGATCTCCCCTTCACACTTAACGCAGAACACTTAGTGCTCGGTCAAATCAGAGCTGATCTCTGCAGCAATTCACAGCCATTTGGAAATGTCTCTTTAAAACTCAGAAAGCGTTTAAAGGAACACAATAGTTGAGTTGTAAGTGGAATATTTCCGAGAGCTTAGGCAAGAACTCAACCTAGTCTCATTAAGTGTGTGACTCTTATCTACGGGCCACACTTCGCTTCTGAAAATCATTTACTCCCTGCTTCACATGCTTCCTTCTCATGGCTCTTTTACCTCTCACTGGGGTGTCTGAGGTCTGCACAGTTAACACTCACACCCCTACTCCGGCTCCCCACTAACTGAGGCAGATTGCATGGCTCTGCCCTCTCTATCCCACGATTTAGGCTCCCAACCCGCACTTTGCTGAACAAAAGAACTCCAGGGATCTGTCATAGCTCATCTGTCTCCACAGAAATATAATTTCCTGCCTGTGCATTTCTTCAGCAGATTCATTTCCTGTTTCAGTGACTGAGGCCTTTTATTATTATTTTTTGTAATATCAAGAAAAATGTTTTGTTTGAACAAGAGCAAAGGGTGGTAGATGCCGCGGGGGGAAAACACTTATTTAATTCTGTTGAACACGAGTTTTAAACCTCTCGCTTTGCATGCATCAATACACACTAATGTCATGCTGCTGTATCAGGCTTTTGCCCGACATTACATGCAACTTATGTAAGTTGCATGGTTTTTGCTTTGTCTCCTTGTTGTAGATGAAAGTTGCCCAGGGAGCCTCTGCTGCTCTGAGCAGTCTTTATGGCACCCGCTATACCAGCGGACCTGGAGCCACAACCATCTGTAAGTAAAGAGGATACTGCCGCTGATCTTAATAATGCATTAATAATGCATTTTTAACGACCGCTGAACAGCCCGTTCTTCTCAATGCATACATTTTTTCTGGTGGACATTCAATCAGAGCGCTGAGGGTTTGAATACACATCCAAATTGTCCCAGCTCATCGGCCCATCCCACCATTACCATCTCCCTTTCCTTGTCTGTCCGCAGATCCTGCTGCGGGAGGCTCCGATGACTGGGCCTACGACCTGGGAGTGAAGTATTCCTACACCTTCGAGTTGCGTGACACAGGCCGTTATGGCTTCCTGCTGCCTGAGTCTCAGATCAAGCCCACGTGTGAGGAGACCATGCTGGCCGTCAAGTACATCGCCGCCTACGTACAGAAGAACCTCTATTAAAGAGCGAAGCTGCCGGGACCCCTGCCAACGCACCAGCCCCCGGCCCCGGCCCCTCCAACCTTTCCACCAGCTCCTGCCCGTTTCCATGGATACGGGCACCACCCGCCATGTTTCCTCACTGTGCCTGACACAATGTCAAGATGAGTGCAAACAATAAAATCAATGATCCATCCCCACATGCTGAATCCATTTTTTATGTGTATACAGTGACACAGAGTCTTGAACTACACAGACATTGCCAAAAAAAAAAGATTCACGACAAAACCCGCAGAGCAAATGATGCATTTTGCAACCCAACATTAACAGGTCATCTTAAATGTATTGCAAATGAGTTTCCACTTAAAGAAAATACTCAAGTTCATGGTTAAAACTACTATGTCTGTCCCCTCTGAACCCTGATAATCCTTCTAGTGTGGATGGCACTGTTCCAGTGGTGGAGGATGGGTGTGTGGTGATATCCCTATTTGGGATTTTAGCCCAGCATCACAGTGCGTGAAAAACACAGAAGACTCCTTGGCAGCTTCTGCACTCTGCCAAGCATCTGCCCGAATTGATAAAGGGGCCAGCCAGGAATGTCACTGCACCGGGACACATCGCTGGAGTGGAAACGTGTGAGTTATTTCACATACAATCCATTCCAAATCAAATTATGCAAATGACTTTCCGTCTAGTTTTTATATTTTCTTATCAGCCATGTCAGTCTCATTTATATTTTGCAAATACACTTAATCCCATGTCTTACCACTGGATCTGTCTCTAAAAGTACCTCTACACCATTTGATCTGACTGAAAACCCAAGGAGCCTTTGGAGGCCACTAAAAATAAGTCACTGTCACCTCTTCAGCTACTGTTTGCCTTCAAGAATGTGGTACATTTTGGTCATTATTCCGCAAGATGGCGACAAATCATTCACTGAGGTATATGTCCTGCTTTTGAGCAAAACTTTTTAACACGGCATCACGTCTTTCAGTTGTCAACTCCAAGCGGGGACAGTGAAGAAGATGACACTTTTGAAAGAAAACTTCTTCCTGTATCTGCTTAAAACTACAAATAACAGAAAAACAGTCCCAGACTTATTTAATTTGCTTTTCCACTCACGTTTAGGCGGCGGCGTCCTGGAGAGGTGATTAGCTGAGCGCCCCCACACCTGCCGGGGCAGAGGGGGACCGCGTCGGGGGCCAGGTGGGTGTGTGGGGCGGCCGTCACGTGACGCTGCGTCTCCCAGCTGCCGCTGGGGTATAAAGGCACCTCTCAAAGTTTGGTCAGCCCTTTCCTCCGCTCGAAGCTGCCGTCCCTAGGTCCAGGCTTCGACGTCCCGTGGTGTCATGGCAGGTATGTAGCGTTTTCGCGTGACACACGCCGACGACGGACCGTTGTTCGGTAGACCCTCCGCTCGCGCGCAGAACTTTCTTCTAGAAACTTTTGAAAGCCTCGCAGACAGCCGCAGCATCAAATGCGAAGCGTGGAAAATGTGTTCTGTTCTTTAGTTACTTTTGGGGCTTGCAGAGATTCAGTTTGTTTAGTCTTTCCACAGCAGGGGGCTACTTTATTGACAGTTTTACCATTCGTAAGCAGCTTCATCGTCTTCGTGCTTGTGTTGTCTTTAATTATCAAAAAATACTTTTTTGTGACATGTCAACTAGAAATAAGACTTTCAAACACGAGTTGCGTTTAAAGACCGTTCGAAGTGCTCATTCTACTGTGACAACCACCGCAGAGGGAACGATGAGATGACACTTCTCGGGCCATTTCTCAGGTCCTGGGAGCTCGGCTACAGAGGCACAGGGCCGCGTGCCATACCTCAACTCTCACTTGTGATATAAGCTTTCTGGGAACTGTCCTTTCCGTCAGGACGAAAGGAATGTCCCCCCTATAACCTGGGCTTTACTATCGCCGTCCTTTGTCAGTTTAGATGCATTAATACTACAGCTGAAGCTCTGCCTATTGCAAAGGGGGCGTGAGGGAGAAGGGGGGTGTGGCGCAGTGTCCAGGCAGCGAGAGGGAACAGCGTGATCCGGAGGGCTCTGGTAATGAGCACCATTCTTCTCACTGGCCCACAACTATTTGTGGAAAGCCTGAACTCTGCTGAGTTTTTCCTCCATATTCTGTCGTCACGTCTGCACGGTCCCAGGGGTGCTGACATCCAGTTCATGTTGGCACCCACATGCTTTGTTCACTCAAACTGTCCCAGCTGCCAGGCTGATTTCATCATGTTTAAGCTCACAGGCTAGTCATTGTTCGATTTGGCAGGTAGCTGACAAACGTTCCTCCCCGCAGGCTGAGGTGTTGGTTCAGAACGGTGCCCCACGCTGCACGTAAAGCTCACCTCAGTGTTTAATGGTTTTCCTAAATTCACAGGAAGGGTTTTTATGTCATTGTTGAAAGATTTAGATGTTGACTTGAAACATCTGTGCATTAGATTGTACAAACTAAGAGTGGTGGAATAAAATACTATTTTAAACAATTTCAGTCCATGTGCACAGATTCATATAGCTTCTCTTGCATGTTTTTGTTTTTCAGACCAGGCTTTTGTAACGTTGGCTACTAACGACAGCTATGCTCGAGGCGCCATGGTTCTGGGCAAGTCCCTCCGCAACCACAACACATCCAAGAAGCTGGTGGTACTCATTGGCCCACAGGTTTCAGAACCTTGCCAGTAAGACCTCAACCCAGTACCACAACATTTCTGAATTGTGCCTGCTGGCACTTGTCAGCTTTAGTTTTACAACTGGCTGGTTGATTTGGTGCCTAACCTGATGTGACTCATTAGGGCTGTGCTGAAGAGGATCTATGACGAGCTGAAGGTGGTGGATGTGCTGGACAGCGGTGACACAGCTCACCTGGCCATGATGAAGAGGCCTGATCTGGGTGTCACCTTCACCAAGCTTCACTGCTGGACCCTTACACACTACACGAAATGTGTGTTCATGGACGCAGACACAATGGTGAGGCCAAACGCGATGTAGCGCAGAAGCTCAGACAATGCAGAACGGTTTGAATCGTAGAAACAAATGTCTGTCGACACTTGAATCTGTTCCAGGTGGTCTCCAACATAGATGAGCTCTTTGACAGAGAGGAATTATCAGCCGCTCCAGATCCTGGCTGGCCTGACTGCTTCAACTCCGGCGTGTTTGTCTTTCGTCCTTCTGTGGAGACGCATGGCAAGCTGCTGGCATTTTGCACAGAACACGGCAGCTTTGACGGTAAGCCAAAGAGGAATCCTTTTCTTTCCCCATATTAAGCCCGTTTTTTCCTTAACTTGCCCACCTTAACGCACTCTGACAATTAATCAAATATTGAGCACAGTTTCTTTGGACAATTTCAATCATTTTGCAATGTTTACATTAAAGGGGAAAAAAGCTAATTTTCATGTACTCAAGTCACTTGATCTCGTATGTAGTTCATTTTCAGACAATTTCAGTAACTAATATGGTTCTCAACATTTGTGCAGCTGTAGGGGGATACTGGATGATTTGGCTTGTCTATGAACTGTACAGATCATTTAGAACCTATTTCTGCTTTCACTTAAAAAAAAAAAAAAAAGGGGGTTAGGGTTTTCAGTCAACACACTTTAAAGTACATAACTGTTCGTTATCCCCAGTTTAGACCTACTCAAACATTTGGGCTTTAACCTGATTTAAGTTACAAGTTCTTGGTAACATGGTGTAAAAATGGACATGTTTATCTTTCCTATAAGTAGGGCCTTTATCTAGCCCAGAGCCTGGACACAAGGCCCTCCTGTCAGTTTCTTGGTGAGAGTTATTCTCAGTGGCTCCCGGGGTGGGGTAAATGCTGAATTTGAGAGGCTATGTTTTGCGCACTCCACTGGTTGACATTCAGAGATGTCCCTCTGAAGTCTACTAAAATGAAGTTGTGGCATTAACTGTAACTCTTCAGCTGGTGCCTAAAAAGATCACTGGTGTGCTGTGACACTAATGGTTCACAAGCTCTCCCATAACTTCAGTTACCTTTTTTTTATTTTAAAACTGAAATCTGAACTTTGAGTATTGTGTAAATGGTGGGAGGTAAACAGGCTCTGAACACTTGAAGACCTTGTGCAGGAGTGTAACACCATTTTATGATTTATGTGTCATGTCAGGATATTGGATAGCATGTACCCAACAATCTGAACCTCCTTTTTGAGGTTCCCTCCTGCCCCCATAGTCTGTTGCAAATGTTCAACACTCCATGTCATGTGTGTTGGAAAATGGCCCTTCAAGTTGATACCATAAAGATACATACTGTCTACACTTGCGTGTTTGCAATGACTGGCCCCTTATCCCATGTTGCCATTTGAAAGCTATAAATTGTCATCTTTCCATATAGGCTTGGTATTTGCTCATGCTCACCAACTTGAAATGGGAATCTGGCGCTTGACTTGAACAATGTGCATTTGTTAAATCTCAGATGTCACCTCACCTTTTTGTTTTTGGCACATTCTGAATAGATTCTTCCTCTTAAAAGGGAGGTGGGGTTGATGCCAGTGTGCCTAAGACCCAGAGGCAGAGGTTTGCAGGACATCAAATGCTCGCATCAAGTGCTCAGTAAATTAATACTTGGTAATGCACACGTGCAAGTGGTTCAGCGGAGTCCCCCTCCCCCAAAAGTTAGGCTGAGAGCAAAGTAAGCAGACGTTTGTTGGCAGGTCAACTTTGACCCCATCCTCCTCTTCTGCACTTTCACACATGGTGACATGTGACAAAAGCACACTGTTGTCAGCTTGATGAAATGGAGGACATTTTGCCCCCTCGCCCTCCAAAACCTCAAACATTTCTGCTGGGATGGTAATAACGCTCCAACATTTAACTGGCCCTAAAGATTCTCGTTTGCAGATTACTTTCTCTTGGCTGAACAAATCATTAATGCTGCTGGAACAAAAAGTTCAAGAGCAGCAAAACTAGTTTCATACCAAACTGAAGACTGCAGACTCTAAGATGAGAAACATGACCTTACCTTGGCTAACATTTCATAAGATCGTGAATCTAAGTGATTCCTGTTGGATGCCAAGACTGTAGATGCTTTTTTTTTTTTTTTCCTTTTGTCAGCCTGTTGTAAGTGTGATCACATGGGACATTTTTGTCATCTGGGGTTGACGCAGTAAAACAAATGAGCTTCTGAAAGCAAAGACCAATCAATTTTTCTCAACTCCCTTTGAGATTAGATCAGTGGTTGTTGAAGACAACAAGTGGTGCTGTGGACTTGAACCTTAGTGAATGAATGCATCTCAGTTTGGGTTGGAAGTGCAAACAATTATTCTTTGAAAGGATTCCTTTTGGGGGGGGGGGGCATTAATTTATTTGAAATGGGCCACAGCTTCAAAGCACCCACTCGTTCTCTCTCCCTAAAACAATTTGCTGGCAGGCAACTTGTACATCACAAATATGGCAAACTCAAATTTTCCAGCGCTCGCCCTCAATTAGAACTGATTAGTGTCATCTTTATTTTCCGTACCTCAATGTGATTGTGCCTAATGAGTAAAGCTTTTATTTTTAGACATGGTTCTCTTCACTTGCACCCAGGCGTGAGTTAAAGTTGCTTTTTGACATCTTTAGCATGCCACTTCTGCACATCTACATGAAATGTGTGCAGCTCTGTCTGCACTTTTTTCTAATAAATTGTCCATGTCGGCAGAGGAAAGCAGGCTTGTGGCTGAATCCAGAGGCCCCATCTGCATTTGTGCTTCAGGGCTGCCAAGACAAACTGGCAGTCCTGGATGCACATTGTTGCTGAGCTCTGTTCATCCCCTCAAAATGAAGATCCTCAGCCCCATGGCAAGTTTTGAAATCCGGGATGGGATTGCACAAATTCCCATTTGTTTTTAAAAGGCAGCAGCCTGTAGTTCCATAAACCGTACAGTCCTGGATGTTTTTAAATGAGTTCTGAAGCCAGGTAGCTTCACCTGCTTTGGTTTGGTGCGTCCTCTGGCTCCTGTACACGGTGCCCTGGCTTTACTCTAGACGTCAAACAGAATGAATGGTTTTTACGACTAAATCAAATGTAGACTAGACCATTTGGGGTATTTGGATTACAGGAAGGTCAGTTCCAAAAAGTGAAAGTTCTATTTATGCAAGTCTCACCGCGAGCCTGTCCCACTTAAGTGGCTCGGACTGAGTGGGGTTTTGTGGCAGTGTGGCTCTCCACCTGAACCCCGAGGCCCCTCTGTAAACTATAAGATGAACATTAACTCGGGCCAGTGCTCGTTTGCAATGAGGAGGCTTGACGGTTACTTGTCTGTGTTGATTATTTAAAGCCGAGTGGCTCTGAATGAGGCAGTTTTCTGCATGGGAACCTGAATTGGCACACCTGGGATTTGGAACACCTTATTTTATTTAGTTTCAATTTTTTAGTTAAGTAAATTGTATTTTAGAGATTTAAAACTAGAAATACTTCATAAACTAGAACAATTGAATAACCTAAAAGGTGAGTCTGTCCAGAAAGTGCCTCTGAAGCTCATAAATCATATCAAATGTAATGCGCTGTGTCACTGTCTGTTTGAATTTAATGTGCCAGCCTCGTGGCAAATGGTTTTCCATCAAAGTTTCCTTTTGCTGCTACTTAAATGACTGCAAACCTGCTATCCACTTTTTTTTTTCTTTTTTTCTTTTTTTTTGGCTGAAGAAAATTTACAGGCATGCAAATTTGAGCTTCAGGCAAATGTTGTGGCCTGAACTTCAATATGAATAAAGAATATAAATCAAGGTCTGGGGATGGTTGTACTTGTCCAGACACCTCAAAATGACTAGTCTTATCTGGGCATAATATGTAAAGCATGTTATTGCTTGTATACAAGATCTTGGTAAAAATGCAGTCGCATTACTCCAGAGAATTCAATCAAAAGCCAATTCAAGGCAGAGAATCCGGTAAAAGGCTAAACTAATGTAACAAAAGCTTAAAAATCTATTTTAGTGGGCTTGAGCAGACGCCACTGAATATTCTGCATCTACCCGGCTGAAGGGATTTGGTCATATTTGACTAAACTCGTAACAAGTGTTCTGATTTTTATCCAAATAAAGGGGATGACTGCACATGCTCTGGGTGACATGGGTGGTTGATATCAAACACTTAAGAGTTGTCCAGAATTTTAAGGAGACTATGTTCTTCTGACTTGTTGGGACATGTGTTCTTGTCTGTGCAGGAGGAGACCAAGGGGTTTTGAACGGCTTCTTCAGTGACTGGGCAACAGCTGACATATCAAAACATCTCCCCTTCATTTACAACCTCAGCAGCATTGCCATCTACACTTACCTTCCAGCATTCAAGCAGTAAGTGCCTACAGAGGGGTCATGACTTTCTAAAAGCCCTCCAGTTGAGTTTGTTCAGTTAGAATGCCTTAACTTTCAGGTTCTTGTATTTAGTTTTAGCTTTATACGCACGATTGTCGCAGGCTATCAACATGCCCGAGATCTTGTGTACTTGCTAAAAAGCCCAGATGTAAGAAGATCCCTGATCACATGAACGTGTAGTCACACCGACATGACTTCGGGTTACGGGTGATGAGCTGTGGGATTCCAGGCCTCAGTTTGAGCGTCTCTAGCAGGTCTAAGCTCGGAGTCGGGTATCCGTCCCCAGCTTGCAACAGCTGATGCCGCCTGTTAAAAATAGGCCGCTTTATTTAAAGCCCTTTTTATGTTTTGCCTGCTGGACTCGTCATTGTCTGTCCAGGGCTGCTATTCTAATTGCACCTCTTATCCATCCCCTCTGCATATAAACAAGCACTTCAATAGGGTATTTCCTGGCATCCAAATGACAAGCATGATGATGCATTTGGTAGTTGTAAGCAATCATGTGTATAACATTCTGGCAGACGCAGCACAGCTCTCCCAACGGGACAAGATCTGGATTTGTTAACGTGCAGTTTGCCACTGAATGCTGTCCTGGTGACCTGTCCTAGCCCCAACCTGCAACCCTACATGAAATGAGTGTAGATGGAATGGATGGAAACTGTAAAATGTTTCATAGTTTTTTTTCTTTCTTTTTCTTCTATATTTCAGGTATGGTGGAAATGCAAAGGTTGTCCACTTCCTTGGGAAGACCAAGCCCTGGAGTTACACATTTGACCCCAAAGCCAAGCGCATATCTGGTAATGTGCATGAGGCCGCCACACACCCCTCCTTCCTCCTGGACTGGTGGACCCTTTATGCTGGCTCCATAGTGCCAATGCTGCATCAGCAGTACGGAGACCAGCCGTTCCACTCCGGATGTGTAGAGGTGAGGGAACCGTCCTTATTTTTAAAAGGCTCCCAACTTGAAGTCAAACTATTCAGACTTTGGCTTTGAGTGACAACCCCTCCCCCTTAAATTGTTGCATAGACTTCTGAGATGTTGAACCTATGAAGGGTAAGTAACTTGCAGTCAAAGACTTAATTGTGGTTTCTGCTATTTTCTCTTTACAGGGGGAGAGCCAGTCTGCAAATCCACAGCAGGAGCTTGAGCTCCAAATGTCTTCAGAGGAACGGAAGGAGAAATGGGAGCAAGGTCAAGCTGACTACATGGGACAGGACTCATTTGACAACATCAAGAGAAAACTTGATACATTTCTGAAATAAAAGGAGTGGGGGAGATTGGAAGCACTTGCAGATCTTTCACAATGCTGTAAGACCAATGGCAGGCTTTCTTTCTTCTTTGAAAGTTTTTGCAACGTGGTCATCTGGTTTACTATGCACAGATTAAGTACTGGTACGCTGAGGAAACTTTTTACAAATAAAGGGCCCTTTCTTCAAAGTACTCTGCTTTTTTGTTTTCTTAAATGAAGATGGCAATACGTTCATCCTGGTGCATGTTCACTTAACATCACTGACAATCTTGTGTTGCAATTTTTTTTTATTATCCAAAAATGTAACCTTGTTTACAGAAAGTCCACTTACTACTTAGCCCTGCATGTACAGGAGAACCTGAGCCTTGTGAACTAGCTGCAGCTTGTCGATCCCTGAACAGCCACACTCCTGGAAGTGATTTTTGGATGAACTTCACTACATTTCACTTGACCTGGATGTTGACTGTACCTATTTGGAACCATTAAAATTTAATATATAACAGTATTTTCTTTGTTTCTAAAGCAAATAACGGTAGCTCAGCCTGGGGTGTATTGTGGTGTGTGTGGAGGGGGACTCATTTAAATAACTGCAAAAATCTGATCTTAGAATTTGATCATGGGGCAAAACTTTTTGATCACAGGTGCAAATATGACTTTTGAAATGTCTTGTCTGTTTTGACCAGCCATGCTTTACAGGCAGATTCAAAAGTTTCCGAGAAAAATATTCTAAGATGGAAAGTATTTAACTGTATTGTAAGTCTTCAAAAAATTGGATGCTGAAACATTAAATTTTCAGTTCAGTAATTGTCTACTGAATGACTGGACAATTAGCAGAAAAGCTAATGGGTTGAAAGTTATATTTTTTGAGTCATTCTAAATTGCAGATTTTTTTGCAAGTTTTTTTTTAATAATATACGTGTCAACTGAAAAGGACTGGATTTTTAAATATATCGAAATACTAAACACAGATGAAGAGTTCTCATGTAAAATTAAATACCCTGGTTTCCTTTTTCCCTCTGCTGAAATTGTGGATTCCTGTCAAGGTGCTAACGATTGTGAACATACCCTCAATCCCAGCTCTATATATATATATATATAGTAAACCCTCCCGAGTTCAATGACCCGGAAATGTCCAACTTCAGCCACTGTCACAACTGAAAATGTTAATTTAGAACAAACCTCTAAGAAAAAATAGTTTTTAATACGCCTGTTTGATACGAGTCAAATCGCCACCAACATCCAGTAAATGGCGTAAACGGTATTTTCTTCTTCTTCTCCACGGGGGCGTGCCGTGACTCCGCTCTGATGGTCTGAGTGGGGAGCTGGGTAAGTAAACACACCATTCCTCCAAGATGGCTTCGCAGTCCGCGTTCCGAGGGGTTCTGCTGGTGTCCTTTTCAGTGCTGCTGACCGTGCTGTTGGGTTTCGGACTCCCCGCTCTCCTCAACGCGTTCATGGCCGTGCTGGGCCTGCCGGAGACCAGCGTGACCGAGTGCATAGTGCTGCTGTATGGAGCTTTCGTGCTTTACGTGGCGACGCCTCGAATTCCGAGAGGACTGGTGGAGGTAATGGAACCACACGGAGGGAGGGCTCCGTTTCCGGATAACAGTCCCGTCGGTCCTCAGTTGTCTTGGCAACACCATTACACGCGAGTCCAAACGAAGGAAATCCTAAACATCTAAATTGACTATAAAATTATTATCAGACGTTTTTTTGTTTGTTTTTTCCTAAAGGCACTGCATGTTTTTTTACCCGTTATGGAGACACCATAATCTGAAACATTCTTTAGCGTGCAGGCTACGCTCTCGGTTCGCTTCTTCTGTTTGTTAGTTGTCACCACTCTCCCGGAACACAAGGGCTTTACAATGTTCCTGTCCTCTGTAGGTGAAAGGGAAGGCTGTGCTCATTACGGGCTGCGACTGTGGATTTGGTCACGAACTTGCCAAACACATGCACAAGATGGGCTTCACGGTGTTTGCTGGATGTCTTCTGAAGGTGAGAATAAAAAAACAGGGCTAATGTGCGCTTATAAAAGCTCTGACAGCACTAGTGCAGCCGGTGGGATTGTGTTGTCCTCTCAGCAGAATGCCCACTCAGAGCTCAGTTAAGAGATGGTTAATGAGTCACCGGATTGATTAAGTGTGCCATCAATCAAAATTGCAAACTTAGTGAATTCCTTTCTCCAGGACAAAGGTGGAGACGGAGCAAAGGAGCTGGAGGAGCTGAACTCTGAGCGGATGAAGGTCCTCCAGCTGGACGTGTGCAGCGACGAGCAGGTAAACAAAGCCGTGGAGTACATCAGCAACAACATGGAGGACTCACAAAGAGGTAAAGAACTCCACAACCCATCAAATACAGGACAAAAAAAAGAAAAAGTGGCCCTTTACTCGTGTATTTGACTTAAAAGGTCTGTGGGCTGTGGTGAACAACGCCGGCGTGTCCACGTTCGGAGAGGTGGAATTCACCCCTGTGGACACCTACAAACAAGTGGCAGAGGTCAATCTGTGGGGCACCATAAGAGTGACCAAAGCTGTTCTGCCATTAATCCGCAGGGCTAAAGGTAAACCGCTGAAAGATTACACATTAACATTCAAACCTCACATGGAAACGACTCCAGTGCACGATACGGTCTAAAGTAAAAAAAAAAAAAAAATGACAAAGGTACAAACAAGCGGGGGCTCAATCTCTCGTGAAGGATTAAAAGCGTTATTTGAATTCCTGTTTGAAACAAAGCTATGCGTCCGGCCGCCTGGGGGGGTTCTTGTCCGGTGATCCTGTAGGGCAGACAGAACATGCCGGAACGCGTTTCCCAGCTGTGCTGCCTCTGCCCGCAGGCCGCGTGGTCAACCTGGCCAGCATGTACGGGCGGATGGGCAACCTGATGCGCTCGCCGTACTGCGTCAGCAAGTACGGCGTGGAGGCCTTCTCCGACTGCCTGCGCTACGAGATGAAGGCCTGGGGCGTGAAGGTGTCCGTCATCGAGCCGGGCAACTTCATCGCCGCCACGGGCATCCTGACCCGCGAGGCGGTGGCGGCCACGGCCGGCCGGCTGTGGGCCGGGGCCCCGCCGGCCGTGAGGGAGGACTACGGGAAGGCCCACTTCGAGCAGCAGGTGGCCCTGATGCGCTCGTACTGCGGCAGCGGGCAGAAGGACCTGGCCCCCGTGCTGGACGACATCGCGGACGCCGTGGCCTCCCGGCGGCCGTACACGCGCTACAGCCCCATGGAGCCGCACTGGTGGCTGCGCGTGCAGCTGATGACTCACCTGCCCGCCGCCATGTCCGACCTGCTCTACTTCTAAAGGCGCCGGCCTCCTCCCCCAGACCGCCGGCCAGCGGACTGCGTCCTAATAAGGGCCTAAATGTGCCTCCGAGCACTTGAAATCATTCACTGATCGAGCCTTAAAGAAAACTTTGTAGCTAAGTGATTTCCCTCTGCTTTAGCCCGTCTCCGTTAGCCGGCGCCCCAGACGCAGCATCTGGGCCCGTCTCCGATCGCTCTTTGATTGTGCTTTGAATTATCCGAGGGGCCCCCCGAAAGGCTCCCCTTCCGCTTAGCGGCGGCTCTCAGCTGAACACATGGAGGTCAGCTACTGTAGGGCCATTTGGCCCGACGCTCTCGAGAGTTATGTAACGGCAAAACAAGCCCACTTTGTCTCACATAGTTCCTGCTGTCCAGCCTTTGATGTGATCAACGGCCTTGTTTGGTGGTGTTGAGGGGGGGCGTGGGGGGCTCTGTTGGCCAGTATTTTATAATTCAGATAATCAGAGTAGATTTATTTTAAGATACAACAATCAGTGTTATATTTTCCCCCAAGACTGACTTGCAATAAAGTGACCAAAACCTTCTGGTGTGTTGCTGCTGAGCTCTTCTTTTGGTGTCTGTGGTCAAACGCTGATCTGTAACACCACTAATGACCACTAGGTGGCGCAGATGTATTGTAGTTATTCCAAATCCAGCAGGAGCCTCTCCTGTGCACAGTAACAACTCTTTATGAACTCTTTATGAAAAAATTAACATGTGACAATAGAACACAATCACTTTTATGCTGTTTATTACATCTTTTGAACACTAAAACGTCTGAGTTATTACACCTGAAGACCATCTCCCCCTCCATAAAAACAGTATTAAGAGCAAAACATTACATTTTCACAGCACTGCCTTTATCATTCCACAGCATGAGTCTGCTTCTTTTTTTTTTCTTCGTCTTCACTCTCTCATACAGAAGGAACAGCTTTGTGAGACACAAAGAACACCATAGAAATGTAAGCAGCACGAAAGCACCAAAGTTAGACACGGGCCACTTGTTCTCCATATTATCAAGACATCTTCTGTGAAAATTCGAGGTCATCTCAGGTTGGTTTTGTAGTCCAGGAGCGAGGCTCCAGCCGCGCTGTCTTGATAATATTTGTCCCAACAGACCTCAGTGTTTTCTGTTTCAAACCAATTCTGTACAGCTACAAGGCCCTGCTCATGCGGCCCTCTGGGTTCAAACGTATAAAAGATTCTCGGAACAGTTTCCATCCCGGGGGGGGGGGGGGGGGGGGGGTGGACGCTGTAGTTTTGTGTTTGAATATCGAGAAAAACTCTTCAAACGCGGTGGGCTTTCTTTTGTTTACACATTTTAAGTGGCTAAACTGCAAAAGTGAAGTTTTACAATAGTCTTTTAACATACAGACAAAACGATATCCAACCAACATAATGCGATACCGTTACTGGAGGTGCACATACATAAGACTCAGGCCGTGACTCCACCTCGCCCGGAGCACATTTTCATACTGCACATGTAGGCATTCATGGTTCACTTAAGTTATACTGGATGAAGTCTGCTATGGTAAGGCCACTTGAAACTAAGCACAATGCTACTGAAGGGGCGGGGGGGGGGGGGGGTATTGTACACGCCTTTTGACGAAGCCAAACCAAACCGGACCGTGACATTTCCAGCCAGCTTTGAATGAGGAAATACACTTTTCCTACAAGGATGTGTTCCTAAATCCCAACAACGTGTCACTTGCTAATCACCCGGCCGACGCACATGCAAAGCTTTAACCAAATAGCACACA